TTAAGGTCTCCAGGGATTTTTTTTTGCAAAAAATTCTGGAGAAGATAACGAATCCAAATATTATAGTTACAAGAAAATCGATGGGGTGCTTATGCCCGAAAAAATGAAATCAAAATTTTTTTTGACTTTTTTTCTGGGCAAATTTAGGATTTTTTTTCTTTAATATTGCACTTTAAATTGTTAGATAATCAACTATTATTACCTAAACTATAAACAAAGTCTAACTAAATGGATAAAAGTTATTCGTTTTTCAAAAAAATGTGCTTTAATGTTTCATGCCCGGTAAAATCCACAATTTAAAAATTTTTGAAAAATCTTTTTTTCCTAAAATCTTCTGTCATAAAACACTGCCTTTATACCATGTTTCACAAAAATTAAAAGACCCATGACCAACTTTGATTTTTTTGAGAAAATTTGACCCTACAACCATTGTTTTCATGATTGTAACAAGCTGATGGTGGCAGCGGTGGGATCTTTCTCACGTGTTTGCCCAGCCCCATTTTGAATTTTTCAAAAAAAATTTTTTTTTTGAAAAACAAATTTTTTCTTCAATTTTCGAAAAACAAATTTTTTTTTGGTTTCTCTCTTGTCTACGGTTAATACAACTTTTCACGCGCAAGTACGCTTGCTTGTGAGAATTTTATCTTATTCAATTCTAAATATTTTAGAATTTATAATTTTTCCCTGTGCATGCTGTTAACCCATTAACGCCCATGATTAGACAAATGAAAATATCATCAAAATTATTATTGGAAACAGGACTGCGGATCAAATAATGACTTTTGACGTCAAAAATTGTTTAAAAAATAATTTGTTTATAAAAATTGTTATAAACAAATGGAAAAAATTAATAAAATTTTAAAAACTAATAGCGCCATTCGATTCTACGTGAAAAATTACTAAAGGAACATGTATGACTTTTTAAAAATTTTCACTCGATTTGTTGTAAATAATTTATAAACAAATAGTGCACTCTCATGTACCTTTTTGAGCCCATCATTACACAACTAAACATTTCATCAAAATTATGATTGGAAACAGGACAGCGGATAAAATAATGACTTTTGACGTCAAAAATTGTTTAAAAAATAATTTGTTTATAAAAATTGTTATAAACAAATGAACAACAGTGACAGTAATTCTAAAGGTTAAATATTTCATACGAACAAATGCAGTCAGAATTTGTTGATTCATAATTTTTTAAATTTAAAAAATATTCTATTAGTCTTTTCCCTTAGAATCGAATGGCACTATAAGTTTTAAAAATGTTATTAATTTTCTCTATTTGTTTATAACAATTTTTATAATCAAATTATTTTTCAAACAATTTTTGACATCAAAAGTCATTATTTGATCCGCAGTCCTGTTTCCAATCATAATTTTGATGAAATGTTTAGTTGTGTAATGATGGGCTCAAATAGGTACATGAGAGTGCACTATTTGTTTATAAATTATTTACAACAAATCGAGTGAAAATTTTTAAAAAGTCATACATGTTCCTTTAGTAATTTTTCACGTAGAATCGAATGGCGCTATTAGTTTTTAAAATTTTATTAATTTTCTCCATTTGTTTATAACAATTTTTATAAACAAATTATTTTTTAAACAATTTTTGACGTCAAAAGTCATTATTTGATCCACAGTCCTGTTTCCAATAATAATTTTGATGATATTTTCATTTGTCTAATCATGGGGTTTAATGGGTTAATGAAGGAAGAATCTTTTTAGTGTCAGTTTAAGTTTTAAAGAAATTACAAGAAAATATCTTTATTAAGATTTTCCTTGTATTTTCATTATTTACCTGGTAGTGAGTAGTATGTGATGACCCTATTTTAGTTAGTGGGGGCTTCAGAACCTCATTTAAGGTTATTCTGAATTTCTACTGACGGGAGAAGAATTTTCTTTTCTTAATTTTCAGGAAAATTTTAAAATAATTTATATTTTGTTCCTCTTTTAAAGTGTTAAAATTTCATTATACTATTTTCAGTGGCATTGAATTTTTTTTTGGTAAAAAAAGAAAATTAATTCTCTTTATTGTCAACCTGAATTAAGAAGAACCTGAAAACGAAAGTTTTATTGAGAATAAAATTTTTCTCTTTCAGTTTCATAATTAAACTGGTAGTGAGTAGTATGTGATGACCCTATTTTAATTAGTGGGGGCTCCAGAACCTCATTTAAGGTTTAATTTGGTTTCTTGTTGACGGAAGAAAATTTTTTTTTCTTCCTATTATTTTTACTATCAAAATTTTTTTTTACAATTAATTTTTTTTTAATTTCTTTACATTGTCTTAAACCCGTGTGAAAAATTAATTATAAAAGAAATTTTATTGCAATAACTGGTAGTGAGTAGTATGTGACGACCCTATTTTAATTAGTGGGGGCTCCAGAACCTCATTTAAGGTTGACGCAAGGTTTTGGCCAATTGCAGAGAAATAACTTTGTCACTAATTTAAATTTCTTTATTTTATTACTTTTATCACTTTATTTTGCATTTTTTTTATAAAATTATAACAAATAAAATGTTTTGCAATGCCTTATAAATGTAGAAATGGTCACGGAGGAAAGAAACTAAAGAATTTGATAAGAATTAGGAATTACACTAAAATAGAAAAAGAACTTGTAAGTGGGTCAAATTTTCTCAAAAAAATCAAAGTTGGTCATGGGTCTTTCAATTTTTGTGAAACTTTGTATGAAGGTAGTGTTTTATGACAGAAGATTTTAGGAAAAAAAGATTTTTCAAAATTGCGGATTTTACCGGGCATGAAACATTACAGCACATTTTTTTTGAAAAACGAATAACTTTTATCCATTTAGTTAGATTTTGCTTATAGTTTAGGTAATAATAGTTGAATATCTAACAATTTAAAGTGCAATATTAAAGAAAAAAAAACCAAAATTTGCCCGGAAAAAAAGTCCAAACAAATTTTGATTTCATTTCTTCGGGCATAAGCACCCCTTCGATTTTTTGTAACTATAATATTTGGATTCGTTATCTTCTCCAGAATTTTTTGCAAAAAAAAATCCCTGGAGACTTTAAAACTAACCGAAATATCGTATTTTTTGTCTCGAGGTGCACAGATTTCGATCTCGCGTAAACACGCCTGAGATGTGCACCAAACGTTCTTAAGCGTGAATTTTCGCATTCTAATATTTTTTTGTTCATTTTTAGTAAAAAAGGAAGGTTTAAAAATCAAGTTTTGCAATTACAAATTTGTTTTTAAACAATTTTGAATCTCAAAATGTGTATGTAATATATAAGAGGCAAATTTTCTCAAGTGTACCAATGTCAAAATTGCAAGTTTTTGGATCGGGCTAATATTTTCACAGTATTTAGAACTATGAACCAGTACTTAAAACCACCAAGTAATTATGAAATTTTATAAAAAAATTTTGAATTTTTAAAAAAAATTCTCACTATTTGATAGAGCAGAAAAAACCTACCAAAAACATATAGGTCACAATTTTTTTCTTTATTATATAAAAGCTACGATTTTTTATAAAACTCACTGTTTATACTTATCCAAAATCTTCAACCCCCCCTACATTTTTTTATAAAATTTCATAATTACTTGGTGGTTAAGTACTGATTCATAGTTCTAAATACTGTGAAAATATTAGCCCGATCTAACAACTTGCAATTTTAACATTGGTACACTTGAGATAATTTGCCCCTTATATATTACATACACATTTTGAGATTCAAAATTGTTTAAAAACAAATTTGTAATTGCAAAGCTTGATTTTTAAACCTTTTTTTTTTACTCAAAATTAACAAAAAATTATTAGAATGCGAAAATTCACGCTTAAGAACGTTTGGTGCACATCTCAGGCGTGTTTACGCGAGATCGATATCTGTGCACCTCGAGACAAAAAATTCGATATTTCGGTTAGTTTTAAGGTCTCCAGGGATTTTTTTTTGCAAAAAATTCTGGAGAAGATAACGAATCCAAATATTATAGTTACAAGAAAATCGATGGGGTGCTTATGCCCGAAAAAATGAAATCAAAATTTTTTTTGACTTTTTTTCTGGGCAAATTTAGGATTTTTTTTCTTTAATATTGCACTTTAAATTGTTAGATAATCAACTATTATTACCTAAACTATAAACAAAGTCTAACTAAATGGATAAAAGTTATTCGTTTTTCAAAAAAATGTGCTTTAATGTTTCATGCCCGGTAAAATCCACAATTTAAAAATTTTTGAAAAATCTTTTTTTCCTAAAATCTTCTGTCATAAAACACTGCCTTTATACCATGTTTCACAAAAATTAAAAGACCCATGACCAACTTTGATTTTTTTGAGAAAATTTGACCCTACAACCATTGTTTTCATGATTCTTTATGTTTTTTATCATTGTTGATTATGTGAATGCAATATTATAAATAAAAAACCAAACGGTCCGGTTTACCCCAGGGGGTGGAGCAAACCGGCCTGTTTGCAAAAATTTTTAAAGTTAACACAGCAACTAAACAATAAAAAATAAAGTATAGGTGTCTCTGGGAAAAAGTTGCGCAATTAAATGATCTTTCAAACAAGCCATCGAAAAATGAAATCGGTTGATTCGTTTAGTCACAAGAGTCAAAAAACCGTTAGGGGGTCCGGTTTGCCCCACTCTCCCCTAGTACAAATTTTATTTATGTAGAATTTGTAAATACTGATGAGTAAATTAACCCTTTCACATTCTGGTTGAAAGCAACTAGAAATAGAAAGTGTTTTTATCGACATGGCCATGAAATAAAGGAGACCAAATTTATTATGATTCATATAATATGTGCCATGGACTGTCAGAAGAATAATGTTTTTTTAATAACATATATTTAGTTTAAAATTTATTTACTCTGGAATATACTTAGTTATTGAAAATACCCAAACAACGTTTTAAAATTTAATTAAATTGCATCTTTAAAACGTTTTTTATTAAATCAAATGTGTCGATAATTTCTCCTATAGTTTATTGTAAAAAAATGAAAGTATTAATGTAACAAATTGCAGTAATTTACCTTATTCTTTGTTACAGTGTCACGAATATTTTCTGTGTCATTCATAACCGCACTGTCATCTTTTGATTGGATGAATTTAAGTCGTCGTTTAGATGCTGACATCTTTTCGACCTCCATTTTTGAATCTAAAATTAGATGATAAATAGAGTTTTATGAAGCTTTTTATTTCATACAACTGAAAATCATTTAACTATAAATTGACATCAAAATCAAGAAGCAAAATACAATTTTAATTATAAATAGGCAAACTTTAAAAAAATACTAAGTTGTACATTATTTGAAAAAGTTAAAATAATTTTAAAAATTAATGTAAAAAAGTCTAAAAACTCATAAAAGTTTAATTAAATAAGACTTATCAATACTAATAGCCATGAAGAAATTATTAAAAGGAGATTATACTTACAATAACAAGAAAAATTATAAAAAGCGCGTAACAAAATATTTGAAAGGAATTTAAAGGTAAATAGAATTTTATGATAGAAGAGAATAAAAAGAATTATTTATTATGAAAATATAACAATAATAATAATAATTAAGGAAGATTTCGACTATATCAGCAATTAGTGACATCTATTAGACGTCAATTGAACTCTTTGGTTTAGAGTCAGGTGTTATTCTTAAGATAATTATTCCGATATGGTTGTCGGTAAATAATTATATATTTGAATTTAATTTTTGATCTGAAAAAATAAGCTGTGTTGGCATGGTGCATTAGTAGGCGTTAGTCCCGCGAAAGGCAGCTATTAACTGGGGTTCGAGTCCTCACAGATGCACAGTGCAGTCGTTCACGCAGCTTATTTTTTCAGATCAAAAATTAAATTCAAAAATATAATTATTTACCGACAACCATATCGGAATAATTATCTTAAGAATAACACCTGACTCTAAACCAAAGAGTTCAATTGACGTCTAATAGATGTCACTAATTGCTGATAAAGTCGAAATCTTCCTTAATTAAAATTCTTAATCAGCAAAAAATTTCCTACATTAAATAATAATAATAATAATAATAATAATAATAATAATAATAATAATAATAATAATAATAATAATAATAATAATAATAATAGTGCTTGAAAGTTCATTAAATGTTTCTTACTGTTTAAAAAAATTCAAAGTAGTTTGGTAAATGGAGATTTTAATAATTTCTAATGAAAGTTATTGGAAACTGTTTATAAAGATATACATTATGTTTGTTATGTGTAGGTTGATTGAAATTTTAGTTTTAAAATTTTTTAACAAATTTTACCTTTTCAGATACAATTTCTACGCAGTATTTACACAAAGCTTAACATTAGCTTAAATAAGCATTTTTCAAAAACTCTAATTAACCTATACGTTACAAAATATTTATATTATTATAAACATTCTTAAACAACTTTGATAAATCAATATTTAAAACTCTATTAACCAGACTTAGAAAAAGTAAGTATTATAAAGCTATGACGTTGTAATAATTCTAATGCCCTAAGCACGAGACCATGTGCCCATGAAAAACAGGATTTGGAAACGAATAATTTTTACTAAGGCGAAAAAAAAAATTAAACAGTATCACTCTAAAACCATCTATATAATTTTATTTTTCAATAATAATAATTATATAGACACATAAATAATTATACTTACTGCTTTTAAAAAAAATTTGGGCACGATGAAATTTTCCATCACCAGCTTTCACAAGGAAAAATTTTTCCTCGAAATTATCATTAAAACTTTTAACATCTTTAACGTTTACTATAGAAAACTTTTTTGTTGTATAAAATCTAATGAATAAAAAAATATCACTTTTTTCATCGTCTGAAGAAGACATTTTTAAATAAGATAAAATTGATTAGATTATAAAATTCAAAAATACATTATTTAAAAACTAAATCTCGTTAAAAGCAGAAGCACAGAAGCAGACAGATTTCACTTAAAGTGTGTTTACATGAATAGCCATAAACGAACGCTCGCATGTTAAGGCCTTTTAGCAATAGTATCTAATGGAGAGTCCACAATATGAGTAAATGACTTAGGGTACATTTAGGGAGCGTTCAGACTAGGGTTGTAAAGTTTCATGAAACTTTGGAAAATGAAATGTTTCATGAAAGTTTCAATGCTTCATGAAACATTTCAAAGTTTCAAGTTTTAAGCGGGAAATTTCAAATTCAATGCAAGAAAGTATAATAATTAACGCATATTATTATCGACAAAAACATGAAGTATTATTATTTACTTTAATATCTTTCTTTAATTTTTATAAATAAAATAAATAATTAAAAAATATATTAATAATTTAATTTTAAGTCACTCGTTAGAGGTAATATTTTAGGTAATTTTTAGTTAATATTAACATAACTACTCTCGTGTTTTCGGATGTAAACAAAAAATTTTCATTAAATTGTTTCGAGCTAACCTAAAATTTCTAGAGATTATCTAACCTGAACTGACAACTGCGCATGTGCAAATAAAGCTTAATTATTGGTTCTTCAATGTTTTATGAAATTAATGAAACTTTCGCTTATGAAACATTGAAACTTTCAAATGAAAGTTTCATTGTTTCAATGAAACGTTTCATCACTCACAACCCTAGTTCAGACCTTCTTATGCAAAACTTATTCATGCAGGTTGCCATAGTAGCGTTCAAGAGTGAGAGAGATAGAATAATTTCCTATCTCTCTCACTCTTGAACACTACCATGGCAACCTGCATGCATAAGTTTTGCATGAGATCGTGTGACTGTACATTTATACGACAGTCGGTAGAAAAAAAATTTACCGAAAAAGTAAAAATCGCGTTCACACTTCGCTTTTCCGATATAATGGAAAAACTGCTTCTAGCGGGAATTTAAAAATTTATATTTTATTAAAATGAATTAACACTGTTTTAAGTAAGAAAAATCAAATTTTTATTTGATAAATATTGTTTTTTAATGATTTACAATAGGAAGATGAATTTTCTTGATTGTAACTAGGCCACGAGTGTGAGAGAGATGCAGATATATGTTTGCTCTATTTGCACTCATTGCCTAGTTACAAAACGCAACGCAAAACGCTACCATGGGACTTCAGCCTAAGTATAATGAAAAATTATTAAATAATATTTATATAATTTAAATAAAAATGTTTAATGGGGATATTTAATATGCATTTTATTATTTGTATATGCATAAGTATAATTTATTTTTCGAAAAGTAGTAAATGTAATTGTGTACATAACCTATAAATGCATGACAACCCTTTAACATTAAGCAAGTAAATTTTTTGTAAACAAAATATATAATATACAAATAGTTGTAATTTATTGTTTGATAATTTAAATCCCTAATAAATCTTTATTTGGTTTTGTTTAATTTAGACGAGTAACGTTCATAATGGATTTTTTTCACACAAAATTCTAACAACAGCTGTGACGTTTCTTACAACTTTTCAAAACAAAAGTTAATTAATATTTATTTAAGGGAAGTGTTCCGGTTGTGGGCACCCTTTTGATTTTGCCTCATAACATTTGTCCATGTGCATATTATACAAATATATGTGTACGAATTTAAAGCTAGAGGTCTAAGGTGACTGTCAGTGAAGGAATTAAATTGACTCCTTTAAATAAAAAAGTTTTATTAGAAATTTAGTGAAATGGGAATTTTTTGACAAAAAAAATTTTGTACCCGGTTGTGGGCACCCTTGAAAAATCCGCTAAAAATGGAAAAATATTAAAGGAAACCAACACAAATAAAGAAGAAATGAAAGTTTCTTTATTTTAAGAAAATTTGCCGGGATAAAGAACAAAAATGATGACACGTTTTCACACTATGCTCATCGCTAACAAAAGCATAATGCTTCATGTGAAGTAGCTAGTACGCATACCATACCGCACTTCTAATGCACTGAACGACTATATTCATCGCATTTAATGGAGTTTGCGGCTGTCACTTTCCTTGGCAGAAAGTTTAGATAGATGAGACAGTAGTCCTCATCATTGTCAGATGGTAGAGCCTCCTTAACATAAAGGTGCCCACAACCGGGAATGACAGTCATTTTTTAAAAAGACCAACACATTTTGTGATGCAGGATTTTGGTTAAACACGAAGGTAAATCACAAAATATAATGACAACACTGCAAAAAAAAAATTAAACCCTTCTTTTCTGAACGAATCTACACCCATATGTTGCTCTTCGAAAACAATACAAAATTACTTTTTTATTTATTTAATGCAAATTTTCTTTATTATGCTCACAGCTATTACACAAATGCATATATTTGTTTCGTTATCAATACGAAAAGTCCGTATTGTCAACGAACACGACTTGCAATACTTAGATCAGTAAAGTCTGCTTGCCGTCGAAGTTTACGTAGGGGTGCCCACAACCGGAGGGTGCCCACAACCGGCGCACTTCCCCTACATGGTTATTTATCAAGAAAATTCATCTTCCTATTGTAAATCATTAAAAAACAATATTTATCTAATAAAAATTTGATTTTTCTTACTTAAAACAGTGTTAATTCATTTTAATAAAATATAAATTTTTAAATTCCCGTTAGAAACAGTTTTTCCATTATATCGGAAAAGCGAAGTGTGAACGCGATTTTTACTTTTTCGGTAAATTTTTTTTCTACCGACCGTCGTATAAATGTACCCTTAAGGAGCATTTCTGGAGCATTCACACAACTTTTGGGAAAACCATTATTATTGTCTTTCTCTCTTTTATGACAGGAGCATAAGTTTGTTTCACTCTACATTTTCTTACTTTTTCCAAAAATTGAAAATGTAGAATGAGACAAACTTATGCCTTTGTCATAGAAAAGACAAAGACAAGAATGATTTTTCCAAAAGTCGTGTGAATGCTCCCTGAGTAGAAAGCGTAGTAAAACCGAAAGTAGAACTTTATGAGAGTGAAATAGTAGGTGTTTTCGACGTCGTCGGTCGTACCGGTCAGTTACCACAAAAAGGTGCTTATTTGAGACTATTTAGGTTAAACTAAATAGTCTCAAATAAACAGTTTGAGCACCTTTATGTGGCAACTGACGACGTCAAAAACACCCAGTATATTAAGCAACAAGAGGATAAAGGCAGTCAATTTCTTTACGATAATTTTTGTGACACGAGTGGAGGTCGAGAGGGCCCTCGACCTCCACTTGTGTCACAAAAATCATCGTAAAGAAATTGGCTGCCTTTATCCTCTTGTTACTTACGATATTTTTTATTCCTAATGCACAAAAGCGTCGATTTCAGATAGCAAACGACAGGGAGTAAAAGTCATTCACTTGTTCGATTTGTATGAAAATGGCAGCCGTTTTCTCCCATTGGCAAGAAAGATGCATGTGAAGGCCAACGCAGAATAGATCTTTAACCGGAACCGCAATCGTAACCGTAAGCGTAAGAATGAGTTAGAGAAGGATAAACAATATACCTATCCTTTTTTAACTCATTTTTTCGGTTACGCTTACGATTGCGGTTTCGGTTAAAGATTCTATTCTGCGTTGGCCTTGAACAGCTAATTTTCTTGCCCTTGGGAGAACACGGCCACCATTTTCATACGGTCGATGAATGACTTTCCTCCCTATCGTCTGCTATCAGAAAGCGCCGTTTTTGTGCATGTGGGATAAAAAGGATAATACAATCTGACTATCTCTCTTACACTTATTAAATTCTGACTTAATCACTTGGGACTTCATCCATGAATTAGGGTGCAGTCCCATGCTGAGCAGAAAACAGAATGCAAAGCAGAATTTCGTGAATGCAATAGAGATAGTCAGATATCACTATCCTTTCTACTCTCAAGAAGTTCTGCTTTGCATTGTGTTTTCTGCTCAACATGGGACCGTACCCTTAGAGTACATTTATACGACGGTCGGTAGAAACAAAATTTACCGATAAAGTCAAATGGAGCGTTTACACCTTCTGTAAAAATTGTCCAGAAAGAAAAATTTGCATTAGAGTAAGAGAGTCAGATACACAGTCTGTCTCTCTTACTCCAATGAAAAATTTTCCGTTCGGGAAATTTTTACCGAAGGTGTAAATGCTCCCAAAATTGTGTTCACACTTCGCTTTTCCGATATAATGGAAAAACTGTTTCTAGCAGGAATTTTGAAATTTATATTTTACTTAAAATTAATTAACACGGTTTTAAGTCAGATAAATCAAGTTTTTATTAGATGAATATTGTTTTTTAATAATTTACAAAAGGAAGATAAATTTTCTTGATGAATCACCAGTATTGTACTCGAATCCTTGATACTTTTCGAAAAGAATCAATTCTTTTTTGAGGTATCGTCAGGGTTTGCACTTAATATACGTCAAGGTAATATAAGTAGTTTTCTACACGTATATTACTACGTATATTACGTTTTGAATTTTTTACGAAAATAGATGTATATTACGTTTTGTCGATATTACTACGGCGCATGCGTAGAACGGGTAAAACCATGGAGTAGTATAAGGAGACCGAACGCCACTCACGCAAAGTGGCCGCACTTTTCATTACCGTGTTTCCTCTGGGCTCACTTACATCGATAGAAGCGCCCCCAACGGGGAAAAATGTCACTAATAATCGTCTGCTAATTGTTATTGTACAGTGCAGTTGGTATTTTTATAGGTTAGTGTTGTTTGGAAATAGTTGACAATTATCATTAATAATTATCTTATAATTATAATATATTATTATTTATTCAATATTAATTTTGAAAGTGCTCGGTTGGAAGTGAAAAGAGATAAATAAGTAAGTATATGTGAGAATTGTTGCGATTAATATTGTTTATATACATAACTTAATTGTTACTAAAATTCCCTCTATAATTAAGAGAGAA